ATTTGTCTAAGGCTGACTTGTATCATATTTTATTTTATCTTTGCTAAACATAGTTTATCTTAAAGTATAACTAAATTAACTTAGCTTTATATTAGCTTAGCTTTTTCAACATAGTTTTCGTAACTCGACTGTGTTCTCGCTAACTATTTTTTAAAGCTTTGCTGTCACAGTCAGGAATCTGAGTGAAAATCATCTAAATCCCTAATGAAATCGATTTAAACCTCCAGAAATCCGGGAGATGAACGTTAAAGGGAACTGCGTTTCCTCCAGAACTCTGGACCGCCTGACAAAATCACTGTCTTTTCCCTGCTAAATTTTCTGACCCTGAAACGCTCCTGGGATCAGGAGGACGGCGTGTCGGTGACTCATCTGATAATTGGGTTGTGTAACGAGCTCTTCGCTGATAATTGGGCGTCCACTCACATAGACTCCTCACCTCCACTTCCTCAACTTCAGCAGCCATTAGGCGGATGGTAGGTTTAGCTCTTCATGGTTCGCGTTAGCCTGATGTAAAGTAGCAGGAACGGATCTCATGGATTTCTCCGGATTTGGTTGTTGCGCCTTGAGGCGCCGCCGACTCTGAGATCAGATGATCATCAGGATCCAGGCGGAGCAGCAGATCAGGTTTTAGCTGCTGGGTCCCCGTGTTCACGCTGCATTCTGCTTTCCCCGCTGGTTATCGATAGCGGTTAGCTTACTTAGCTTCCACTAAGTGAATTTAATGGGATAAATTATAAAGCGCTAATGTACTTTGCTTTTTGTTTTCAGTTGATTAAAGTTCAACATCTGTGTTGAAGTTTTGGTGTAACGACCGGTAATAATTCTTTAAGTAGTTAGGCTTTTGTATTCATACTTTTATTTTGAAGTGGTGAAGACTTCCATTTCCTCTCCTCACTTTCCCTCTTTTCTTTCTCTAATAACTTTATTTAACACAGGAGACCTACAGGAACAAAATCAACATGGACAGTAGAGAATTAGATATAAACATAAATATAATATTTAAAGCTGTTATATAACATGTAGATTAAAATGTCATAATTAAATTGGTGCTCTTTAACGTGCATAATGTGTTAGCATTAGCTTCTGCTAAATACCGTGTTGGTGTTTCATGTAGTGCTTTAGCATTAGCGTAACTAATATTTCTGATTTGTGTTTCAGGGTAGCGCAGCTAACGTTTTAGCCAGCTGTGTCCACCACTGGCTTCTTATATTTAGCTATAAATAGTAAAACAATAATGGATTTTTTTAATTATAGATTTAATAACACCAGTTTTTATTTTATTTTTGTTTTATTTTACAATTTCTCTTCATCAGGATGAAAGCTCGCTGCCTTTTCTGCATAATTTTATAGAGTAAAATTCAAACTTAAAATTAGAGGAAAGCTGGTGGAAATTTATCAAATATTAAAGTTTTTTTCTAAAGTTTTTGTAATATTAGCAGCTTGAAACGAGTTTTCTCATTCAACATCAAATTTTAAAACTGTGTTCCTCTTCAGTGAGGTGAAACGAAGCTGCTTGTTCCCAAACATCAGAGCTCTTATCTCCTGTCTCCACTTTAATGGCATCAACTTCCTGTCGTTTAAATTATTCCTGCCGTTTGGACGGGCGATCCGAGGTTTCCCGCTCCGACTGGATTTTAACGTCAGGTGGGACTGAGGAAGAGGAGCGTGAACGCAGCATCAGGATGAAGGTGGAGTGGTCCGATGTGGGAGCAACATGAAACATCAGGCGGAATATTTTTAGGAGCTTCTTCCACACCTCTTCCTCCTCCTCCTCCATCCCTCCATCACTCCGTCTCTCGCCGGCGAGCGCTGACGGCGGCTCGCTGCTTCCTCTCCCTCTCTGCTGCTCTTCACAAGCAGCAGAGGAAGAGGAGGCAGGAGGAAGACGCCTCTCCGTTTGCTCTCTCAGCTTCTGGATCAGATTCTCCTGATTCCGGGTTTCAGGATTGGATTCCTCCAGAGAATTTAGGCAAAGTGCTGAAGAGCTGCAGCTGGAGCGACCCGTTCAGGCGGTTCTGGAAATCAAGCGGATTTTTCTCCTGGTTATTTCAGAGTCAATGTTCTGCAGATGTTTCGATCCTGCTGTGACGGGAGGAAAACCAGCTGGAACTGATCAAACAGTGTTGTCTAAGTGGGTCAGAACCGGACCTGTACCATGTGAAGCTGAACTCCTACAAACTCTGCCGGATCACCCAGAACCCTTCGCGTGGTGAGGACGGGAATGCGGCTGCAGCTGGACCTGAGGGATCATTGTTGAGTCTGATCATGGGTCAGCCCCGTCGCTGTTAAACCCGGTTCTCCTGGGGGTCATGCGGTCCGACCCGGACTGAAGACAGATCCAGACCCAGAGGGATCCGGCTCCTCGGGGAGATGGCGGCGGCCATCGCCAGCTCCCTGATCCGACAGAAGCGCCAAGCGCGAGAGTCCAACAGCGAGAAGGTCACCACCAACAAGAAGCGCTCCAGCCCCAGCAAAGACCCGCGCTCTCTCTGCGAGAGACACATCTTCAGCGTCTTCAGCAAGGTCCGATTCTGCAGCGGGAAGAAGCGGCCGGTTCGCCGGAAACCAGGTGGGCGCTCCCGTTCTGACTAGCATCTATGAACGTTCTCTCAAGTTTTTACCGTCTGTAGATGAATCTGGGATGAACTAGTCTGACGTTTGGTGGCCTGTTGGTGTTTTCTTGGCATTTCTGTCTTTTACCTTTTGGGTTTCTTGGGGGCATCGACTCCCTGGCAACGGCTCATCAGACGATGGCTGGAGGATTCATACGTTGATAGGAGAACAAGTGAAGATAAGTGAAAGGCTGGTCGTTCAGGTGTTTACTGTTTTAGATGCGTTAAATTCATAAGGTTTGGATCATTTCTCATCGTTATCTTGTGTTCCTAATGAAGCAGAGTGCCAAAAGCCAGACCGCTATCCCTTTTTAGCTAGCACCCAGAACAAAGATGGAAGCTAAACTGATCTAAATACTCAGATTACTCTCCTTCAACCACCTTCAGGAGTTTAAACCAGAGAACATGATGTTCTCATCCATGAGTCCAGTATCAACTCATCTGGCCTGAAACTCTGATCCATCTGCTCTGACCCACCAGCACTCATCCGCTTACAAGTTTGGTGCAAAATAAAGAGCTAAAGATGCTAACAGATCCCTGACTAAACCTTCAGATCCTGTAAAACCAGAAAGAGGATCCATCCCGCTACAGAAAACGGCTCATATTTATTTCCAGACTTGAACGACTGGACATTCCTTATCCCTGATGGGCCCCATCACCAAAAACATTAAATCACTCAACGACTTGAAGGTTTCCGCCTCGTTCCTCCATAACTCCTGGAACTAAAGGATCATGGAGTCCATGTTCCTCTTGTCTCCTCAGATTAACTGGATTTACTTCGAAAAGCTAGCTGCGCTAACCCTAAAGCATTAGTCATTAGTTCTGTTACGCAAAAGCACAATAACGACATGATATTTAGCAGACGCTAATGCTAAAGCACTATATGAACATATTTTAGTGGAAGCTAATTTGTAAAATGAATAGAGGGAGTTTAGTGCGCTAAACATTTTGAAAGTTGGCTAAATCACTAAATGATAAATTAGCTCTGTTATTTGCACATTGGCGGGAGTGTTTCACCCATCATGCAGTTCTGGTAACCGTCCGTCTAAAGATGAATGCTACCACCCAACCCAGAAGGAAAATGTTTGTTTTATCTCCTCTGAAGGGAAAACTACTGATGTTGGCGTATTAAATAAATAAAGCTGCTGGCAGGCGGATCGTCAGCAAAACTTAAAAACAGCCAGTAGTATTGCATAACTTTCTTCTTCTGTGGTAAATATTTGATGAGGCTGATTCCAGCTTCGGTTTCCCACTGGAGGCTCAGAAAATCCTTTAGCATTATTAGCGTTCGGGTCTGAAGGAGGCTGCTGCAGAACCCGGTTTGGTTCGGTCTTTGTGGTTCCACCCCTTTGGGTTCTGAGCGGTTTACTGTGTTTCCACGTCTGAGCGACGGCGCCGCTTTCTGCAGTCCGGAGACCCGGTCTGCAGGCCGACCGACCGGGTCTCTGCAGTCCGGAGACCCGGTCAGCAGGCCGACCTACCGGGTCCCTGCAGTCTGACTTCTGAGAGCCAAACAGCTGAGCCGAGGGTTTCTGACTGCATGAGAGGTGAGAACAAAAAAAGTTCGGATTAAAATGAAATACTTTTCAGAGCCTGATAATAACTAATTGTTCATTTGTACAAACGGCTGCTTCCAGCATTTTCCATTCAGTCACCTGATTATAAATTAGCAAGAATATTATTTTATTGTTTTAACCCTTGTATGTCGAAATGGGGACCAGCCGACCCCACACACGTAAAACCTGTATCATTTTCCATAGACCTCTACATTTGTGGCAAGCCGTTTTAACATAAATTCGGTTTTACCGCTCTTATATTCCAGATATCTCAAATTGTTTTGTGACTAGACGTTTTAGCAATTTAAAATATCTCTAATTACATTCCAACTAGTCAGAATGATATTACTGATATCTTGAATTAGTATTCTGCTTAGTCAAAACGTCCCTGACTTGCGTAGCAATTTGAAAGTTTAATAAAACAATGAAAAATAGAGAAAACGAAAAAAGATGTTTGAAAATTCGCCGCTTTCATGTTGAAAATGGTTTGACAATAGCAATTTTAGCATTTCAAAGCTGTTTTTAAGTGCATTCGGTTCGTCCAAAATGATTAAACAGGAAATTCTTTGCAGATATCAGAAGCAGTCTTATAGTTTATGAAGTTTTGCTATCTCCGCATTTCCAACATTGTCGAGCTCTTTCTAATTTGTGACATTTACTGACAATTTTGTGCAGGAAACATAAAATTCTGCAGGCAACTGTTTGGACACCACAAAGGGGCTTCCACGTCATTCTTAATTCAGATATCTAAAATTGTAATTTTGACTAGTCATAATTGTGTTGAAGATATCTTAAATCGTAATTATGGATATGTCTCCCGTCAATTGACAGATCCAGTGATGTCATTTGACATATCTTGAAAGGAATTTTGACTAGTCAAAATGTAATTGAAGATATCTTGAATTATTATTCTTACTAGTCAGAATCTAAATACAGATATCTTAAATTATCATTCCGAATTGTCAAAATGTAGTTTTGTCTAGTCAAAATGCATTTTTAGATATCTGTAATGTAATTTTGGATAGTCAGACGAAACCGAATTTATGTTACAACGGCTTGCCATACTACGTTTGCCTCAGTCCTCGCATGCACAAGGGTTAAGTCTCAAAACACATTCAGTTAATCAACTGCTGTAAACAGGTTTCTAGACCAGAAGACGCTCCGTCAGACTCCATGGCCTCTCTGCTGAGTCATGCTTTTATAAGTTCGCACTGAGCATGTGCAGCCGAGCTAGCAGGTGGCTTTTATACTCGACGGGAAAGTTGGTTCAGCTTTCTGTGAAAAGGCAGCGTTCAGAGAGCGATCACATTAAACTGAACCAGGCAAACCTGCTAAAGATCACCAGCCAGACCATCAATTTTGAGTGAAAGGTGGCTAACGGTGCGCTAGCTAGGCTAATGGATGGCGAGATTACCAATCGCACACTCAGCTATAAACCCAACCAGCCGCCATTTTCTTTTTGATGGTCAGAAACTTCAAAATGGAGACAACAGATAATCACCAAGATGTGATGGATGAATGGATGAACAGTTGAATGAATGGTTGAATGCATTTGGGTTAATAAGAGTTTTCTCTCAGTTTGCTGCAGCATCTAGTCGTTGTACGTCTAGGGCAGTGGTTCTTAACCTGGGTTCGATCGAACCCCAGGGGTTCGGCGGAGCCTCTGCCGCGGAGGTAAAGACACACTGTGTAAAGTCGTGATGACGCCCCGCTTTGCCATCAGTTGCTGCAGAGGATCACGTTACATTGCTGAACCAATCAGAGCTGCAGAGGAGCCCTGATTGAAGAAGCTCCACTCTCAGCAGGGATTTGAACTTGTGTCTTTAATTACTTCAGTAAAGCTCACAGTTTTTACCAAATTCTATAGTCTAAATCTGCTCCTTAGTCACATCTTTTCGGGGTTGGTACTGCCTCTAGTGGCTCGGGGGTGGTAATACAACTAATATTATTACATTAACAAATCAGAATACCGCAAATTATTTTCTGTGTTGGGGGGAGAGGGGGGTTCGGTGACTGTGCATATGAAACTGGGGGGTTCGGTACCTCAAAAAAGGTTAAGAACCACTGGTCTAGGGGAAACCGCTCCTCCAGTAAAGCGTGCTCTGATTGGTCGGCCCGCAGCGCGTCGGGAGGTTCTGGTCTGGTTCTGAGCGTCGCCCTCAGTCAGCTCCATGTCGCCTCGCCTTGTGATGAGGTGTTTATTCTTCTTCTTCTCTCTGCAGCTGCAGAAGTTAGGAAGTGTGAAATCCGTCTAAATTTAGCGGCGCGGGGAGAAAACGCCTCTGGATGAGCTGATGCTAATCAGCGTGAGCAGCTAGCAGATGATTCATGTCAGGAAACAGAAACATGATCTGCTAACATCAGGGCAGATCTGCCAACACCACAAACAAGCTGCAGAGGAACACATGAAAAGGTCAAAGGTAATTTAGCCCTGAACTCATCCTGTAGTCTAGCAGGAGGAACATTTTTTTCCTGTTTTCATCCTCAAATCAAACATCAGATGGAGTCAAACAAAATTCCTGTTTCACTCTTTGCTCTCCGGATGAAAGACGAAAGTTGCTCTGACTTCCTCAGCTTTCAGGCTTCTGTTGTTTCATGGAGAGGCTAATGAAACCGCTAACCAGTCAGCTAAAGAAGCAGCTAACAGAGCAGTTAACACAGCAACCAATCAGCTAACGAAGCAGCCTTGTCTGGAGGTTAGCGGCTGCTCCACATTCAGCTCTGTGTCTCCTGGTCTATTTGAGGCCTCCTGGCCCACATTGTCTCCTGCTCCTCCTCAGACGGTCCAGCAGGGACGCGGTCCAACTGGACCATCAGGGGAGCCTCGGTCCGCTCACAGATCAGAGACAGAGCAGCGTGAGCAGGATGGAACCTGCTTACATTGGTTGAGATTTTACTGGGAGGACTTTATTATTATTATTATTTTTTTTTTTTGCATTTTCACTAATTACTAATTTTGCTAACTTTGAAAATGTTTAGCTTACATAGCTTCCACTAATGTAATCTTTCCAGATAAATTCTAAAGGTCAAATTAACTTTGAGGGGAATGAAGTTTGAGATCTGTGGTGCAGTTTTGGTTATTGACTTCAACGATTTCTTCAAGTAGTTGGACGTTTATACTCATGCTCTTATTTTGAAGTTTGTTTATGCAGCAGTTTTGTTTCTGCTCTTTTTTTCCCCAAGAGACTTTGTTAAGATGGAAGAAGTTATACAACAAACAAACAAACAATGAAATATACAGAAGAATACAACACTAACATAAACAAACAACCACGGATGTCAAATGAACAAATATGGAAAAATTCACATTTATGAATTGATGTGAGAGCATAATCATGTTTTCCTTGTGACAACATGGTCACATTTAGCGTTAGCTTCCACTAAATACCATGATGATACAATGTGTTGGCCAAACTAATGTTTATGATTAGTGCTTTAAGGTTAGCACAGCTAACTTTTAGTTAGCGGTGCAAACCACTGTGTTTTTTTATTCTTCTTAGATACAAACCTTTAACTGAAGCGTGTCATTAAGCTGCTGTTAAAATGCCGTCTCCACAGTGACACACGGTGGAGGAAGCATCATGCTGTGGGACAGGGAAGCTGCCTCATCTGTTCTCAGATTCCCAGAAACATTAAATTGTTTTAACCCCTCATACTTCATTTTCTTTGATCAATCAAGAAGTTGTGGGATAAAACGTCGCTGCAGATTCCTGCAACGTTCTGCTGATTCATTTGGAGCCATTTTTACCTCCTTGCTAATGCTAGCTTTAGCTAAAGGACCTCAGAGGTTCAGTTCAGGCTCATGATAACTGATGTCAGCTATGAACTCCAGAAGACTCAGTTTGTTTTTTCGCTGAATTGTGCCGCATGTGCTCTATGCACCAAAGGATCTCAGAGTTTGGATCCGAAGAAAATTACTAAAGAGGCAGCACCATGTAAAATCATCATCTTATATTTATTACTCCTCCATCAAAAACAAACCTGGAGTGCTGCTTTGATTCTTTCATGTTAGAGAAATCCTTATATCTCCATGGCAACCATTCAGCTGCAAAACACCTGATTGTGCTATGGAATGGCACTGTGTGCCTGGAAAACACATAAAGAGCTTCAGGTGTGGATTAAGACTTGAGAAAAGTCTGGCTGCTTGATGATGGTTGGATCAGAAGATCAGGTGGTAGTGAAGGAAAGGAAAGCTGCAATAAGACCTCCAGCTGAGGATTTAAGTGTATAGCAGACCAGGTGAGGAAGCAGGAGAGGAAAGAGAAGAGGAAACAGGAGAGGAAGCAGGAGAGGAAGCAGGTGAGGAAACAGGAGAGGGAGCAGGTGAGGAAGCAGGAGAGGGAGCAGGTGAGGAAGCAGGAGAGGAAAGAGAAGAGGAAACAGGAGAGGAAGCAGGAGAGGAAGCAGGTGAGGAAACAGGAGAGGAAGCAGGTGAGGAAACAGGAGAGGGAGCAGGTGAGGAAGCAGGAGAGGAAACAGGAGAGGGAGCAGGTGAGGAAGCAGGAGAGGAAACAGGAGAGGAAGCAGGCGCCGGTCTGACCTGGTGTTTGTGTGTTTGTGTTGCAGAGCCGCAGCTGAAAGGCATCGTGACGCGTCTCCACAGTGAGCAGGGCTTCTTCCTGCAGATGCTGCCCGATGGGACCATCAGTGGCTGCAAAGACGAGAACAGCGACTACAGTAAGCTTCAGGCTGCGACCTGCTGAAACACCGGAATATATCTGAAACACCTGTGATCTGCGGCTCCGAGCCACAGATCACAGGAAGCTGATCTCCAGGATGTTTCCAGCCGCGTTCCTGCTGCAGATCAGAGCTGCTGCTGGAAACCAGATGAAAAGGAGGACACGGAGACGAAGAGGAGGAGATGTTTTGGTTTTCTCTCAGATCATCTGAGTTAAATAAAGGAGGATTAGCAGCAGCATTGCCACAGGCCTCTTCCTCCTCCTCCTCCTCATCCTCCTCACCCACACGCCAGCTCTCAGTCTCCCAGGATTAAATCACCTCCCATCACTCGGTCCCTCGCTCTTTTCTTCTGTTTCTCTGCATTTTTCAGCTGCAGGCGAGCTGCAGAAGCAGAGGCAGCGCAAGTCTTATTTAACTCATGTGCAGGATGGATTTGTGTTCGTGTCTCTGAACGTGTTCGTGTCTCTGAACGTGTTCCTGTCTCTGAACGTGTTCCTGTCTCTGAAACTGTTCGTGTCTCTGAACGTGTTCCTGTCTCTGAACGTGTTTCTGTCTCTGAACGTGTTCCTGTCTCTGAATGTGTTCATGTCTCTGAACGTGTTCCTGTCTCTGAAACTGTTCGTGTCTCTGAACGTGTTTCTGTCTCTGAATGTGTTCATGTCTCTGAACGTGTTCGTGTCACTCAACGTGTTCCTGTCTCTGAAAGTCTTCGTGTCTTTGAACGTGTTTCTGTCTCTGAACATGTTTCTGTCTCGTCCTGCAGCTCTGTTCAACCTGATCCCCGTGGGCCTCAGGGTGGTGGCCATCCAGGGTGTGAAGGCCACCCTCTATGTGGGCATGAACGCCGAGGGCTTCCTCTACACATCTGTAAGACTCTTAAACAATGGCATGTTTTCATTATGCTGGAAAAATTCAGACTAGGTAAAGGATTAAGGAGTAGGGGAGCCATTTCTAAATTACACAGTCAAAAATTAGCAATAATTTGGGTTATTTAGCATAAAGTAAGAGGGAAAATGGCTCATTTTTTCAATGGCATTCATTCATATTCATTCATTCATAAATGTTAGTTTGAAACTAGATATGTAAGAAGCTAAATATTTTGTTAACTAACTTGCTAAATATTTAACATCTAAGATAAATAGTTTGCTAAACATTGTGTTAGCGAGATTAATATAGAGCCTGAAATTGAATTTTTAGCTAGCTAGATACATATTCAGATTCAAATTAAGTATTGAATTATTTAGCAAAATTGTAAGCTAAATACTTAGTTGGCTAACTAAATACTTACCCCATATCTAAATCTTTAGCTAAACATTAAACATCTAATTAAATATTCAGGTGTGCATATATATATATATATATAGTTAATTAGCTAGCTAGCACACTACTTTGTGTTGGTCTGTCACATAAAGTCCTTAACAATATACATTGAAGTCTGTTGTTGGAATGAGACAAAATGTGGAAGGGAAATGTTCTGCTCTGATTGGCTCAACTGCTCACCACCTGTTATATCCTGAGGCCTCACACACAAACACACACAGAGAAATGTGTGTTTTTACCCATATTAGATTAGGACTTTGTATTAATTTCCAATCATTTTAATAACTGCATTTATGCCTAACCCAAACAATTAACCTAATCTTGTAAATCACTCTGTATTTCGATTTGGTCCTTTTAAGGCCCAGTGGCCTTCATGGCAACATAAACAAGTACACACACATACACACACACACACCTGTTTTTTGTGTGGAGGTTAAACTTGTCCGGCAGACTCACTTTGGCTTCAGGTCACCATCAGATATTTCCAGAATGAGGTCAGCGTTGCTGTTCTGGCCGCTCCATGGGAGACGGACACAGTTAAACTCTGCGCTAGACAATCAAATATTTAAAGTTAAGGTTTTACTTCAGGGACTAATCACAGCATTTTAAAATAGTTTGTGTGTTGTTGCAATTCAGCTTTAGATATATGTTGATCAAACCCTGACATATCAAGTGCTACAGTACAGAAAATAACAGAAACAGTCAAAAGTGTGAAAACAATTGTGATAATCTATCATGTTACGGAGGTTTATTTTGGCTAACGTTACAAGTAGTGACTGTTCACAGTGACGTTACCTAACGGTGGGTAAGTTGTGTCAAATAAAGAGAAAATAACTATTTGTAAACTTAAAGAACAAACATTTGAAACTGAAAATCAATTTTGAAACAAAAAATTCAAAACTACTTTTGAAATTCGCTGGGTATTTTTGGTTTCAGATTTTCTTTTTTTTTTTTTTTTCAGTTTCAGAATTCTGGCCCTGTTTGGCTTGGCTGTAGAATCATAACTTACAATATGGAGCTAAACTGGGACCATAAAGTTAACTCAAAAATTTTTCTAAACTAAAAAATTGAAGAAACTTTTGAAACTGAAAAAATCTGAAATCGAAAGAAACAATCTTTAATCTGAAAAATACTTTCAGTTTCACACATTATTTTTTGGGAAAAAAACTTTATGGATCCTATTTAGTTCAATGTACTTAGAGTGAATATTCTAAGTTTATAATAATTAGTTGGATTTCGTGTAATTTAACCACTCTCTTACACATGAGTGTTAAAACTGAAATGGAGGTTTGACTTGCTAATTAAATGGATCATTTACATAAATGTTATTTTTTGTAATTTGATACATTTGTATTTGTCAGACCCAAAACCAGAAATGTTTGGATGACTTTTTGTTTAGTAGTTAAAGTAAAAACAAAATTTTTTGTGTGTCTCTGTCAGGATATTTTCACACCAGAGTGTAAATTTAAGGAGTCTGTGTTTGAGAACTACTACGTCATCTACTCGTCCACCCTGTACCGGCAGCACGAGTCGGGCCGGGCCTGGTTCTTGGGTCTGAACAAGGACGGCATCATTATGAAGGGGAACCGAGTGAAGAAGACTAAACCCTGCTCACATTTTGTCCCCAGACCCATTGAAGGTGAGCAGACGTTGTTTTCCTTCCTGAAGAAGTTTAGTCACCTTCCTTTCAGTCTCTTAGGATTCTCAGGTTACCGGTAAGCCTTAGCAACAGCTTCATTTGGTGTTACGTTTTGCCCTGTCAGAGCCAAATTAGATGTTATTTGGATAAAAATCTAGTCCCAAAAGATGGAGAACCAACACTCCAGGAGTAACTCCAGGCTACTGAAAGATTGAAGTGTAACTAACCCCCCTGTAAAAGCTAAATTCACCTCCTGGCATTTTTTTTTTATTCCAGCAAAGTGGGCGGAGCCAAGATATACTGATGGGCACTGATCAGTGCCCAGATCAGTGTGGAGGGGATGTGGTCAGGACAAGGGAGGCACTATTGCCAACTTGGCGACTTTGTTGCTATATTAAGCAACTTTTCAAACCCATCTAGCAACTTTTTCATCAAAAAAGTGGCAAATTTTGCGACTTTTTGATCGACACTCACCACCAGGGGGTGCTTGTCTGAGTGAGATGGTTTTACAGCTGAATGCAGCACTGTGTGACGTAAAGCTGTACTGGTGTAACCAGTACACAAATTCAACTGCAGTCGCCACTGGTCAACCAAAAGAGGAAGCACTAAGGTTATTAGCAAAATAATGCAGTAGTAGACAAATTTATATGAAATGTCCATACAGAAACAAAGATAGAACCCCAAATAAACAATTTAAACAGTTTAATAGCAAAAAAAAAATCCCAAACAAATAATAAAAAAATATTTGGGGTTAAGTGAAACCCTTCACTCACACATTTATTGGATAGTATCTGTTTTCTAAGTAGGAGAAAAACAATTTTCAGTTTGAAATTCAGAGTTCTTCATTTTTCAGAGGGTGGAGACTTTAACCTTTCCCATAAAGACACTGAAGAAAAATGTCAACATATCTTCATTGTTACTGTGAGCAAATCCTATTTGAGAATGTGTGTCATAAAGCTTTTCAGTTAGATGTGCTACAGGAGCTTCTCTGAGGTCAAGGTGAATCTCTAATGATGCAGCTGGAGCTTCAATAGGAAACATGAGGCTCCATCTCTGCTTTCAGCTGTTTGCTGCTATCACCTTCTTCATCCCTGACCTCAACCTGCAGCTCTGCTGCCATCATCGTTTCCCTCACCTACAAACCTCAGTTCAGGCTGAAGAGACTTCTGCTATTGGTTTTATTGTTTTCCTTCAGATTAAGCAGCTCTATTTCATTCCAGCAGGTCAGAAGCAACTGAACTGAGTTCTGGGATTTAACTGGATCAGCATCAGGAACAGTTGGTTCCACACTGGTTCAATCATTTCACTGGCTGGTTTCTGCACCTGACAGAAGTTTGGTTTTTATAGCTTTTTGACCAATTTACTTTTCAGATGGGAAAGATGCAATTCCTTTATAAAGTCTGAAGGAATGTTAATTTTACCATTATCCCAAGCTCATTGGTATGAAAAAAAGAAAACTTGTTTCTAGACATTATTTATACAATATAGTTAAATTCAGTTTATTTGTGTAGCGCAAATTCACAACAGATGTCATCTCAAGGCACACAAAAAAATTCTATTTTCACATTGATTTTTATTTTAGTTGCATTTTTTTAATACTATTGCCACAGTCTAGACCAGTGGTGTCCAAACATTTTGCCCTGGAGAACAGACAAATGTAAATTACTATTGTTCCACAAAATTCATTTCATTTAGGTCTCCTGAAAATGAAGCACTTAAAAAAACTCCAATAAGTTAATGATATTTTGGTGTCTGGAAAATGAGCCGTTTCAAAAATCAACAAAATTGAATGTTACCTAGCAACCCCATTGAAGCCCCTCCTGTTACCTAGCAACCCAAACTGAGCTGCAGCACATGTAGTTGCTCTGCATGCGCTGCTGGAAAAGACAAGAGTTTTGTTGTTGCAGCCATTTTTATGTGCAAGTATAAATGTTGAGTTGGGGGGCATGGCTGGCAGAAGCTTATTTGGATTTAAAGTGACAGAACCCTAAAAGAGCTCATTCTGAAAGGAGCACACTAAAATCTCATCTAAGACTGATTTTATGCAAAAAATGTAATAAAAGTTATTTGTATACACCTGTATAGATCTCTCCTAACCTGTTAAGGTAAATGTTTTGCACTAAAAGTGTTAAGAAAATCTAGAGATCTGAGTGAAATTTGAATAGAAAAACACCAGGAAGTGACTGCTGGGATTGACGTGTTGTTTTCTTGTCTCCTCTGCAGTTTGCATGTACAAGGAGCCGTCTCTGCATGAGCTGGAGGAGAAGCTGCTGAAGTCGTCGCGGAGCCCGACACTGAACAGCGGCCGCGCCAGGAGCCTGGACCGACCACAGCGGCGGTCTGCCAACTCCTCCACAGAGCGGGAGGCGTCATAGCCTGCAGCGCCCCCACAGGAGGAGGAGGAAGAGGATGAGAACTCCCATTTTAACAATCCCTGTGTTCAGCAACTACAACCACACCGACCAACCGCCAAGACAACGATAATGAAGAAAACAATGTAAAAAGATTTTAAAAATCCGGGGAAATTCTTCTTGCTTGTGATGAAATATTTTAACGAGCAAGGGCATGGGGGAGGGGCTTGCTTGGAAATGAAAAAAAAAAATAAAATAAATCAGGACGTTGATGATTGAGATTTACATTTTATGCAAAGAGTCCTGCTGAAATAGTGCCAGGAGGCTAGCACACCTATTCCTCATCAACACATTGTAATCATCATCATTTCTGTCACAATGATGACAAAATATCTGTGGAGTCGGGCAAGCGCTCCGAACTCTGAAGCTTTAAGCCATGTAGAAACTTCACTTCTCTTTGTTTTCTAATGAATGCTAAAACCTTCGCACTCCCCACACGCTGTGCTTCTTTTTTTCTCCGTGTTTTCTGTCGAATCAGACGGAGGATGTTCTGTTTCAGGTGCCACAATTTGTTTAGTTTCTTTGTTTGAAAGGTCAGGGACTTGTTCTGGGCTTAGTCACAGACACTGCCGATTCAAAGGTCCGGTGAGGTAACGGTACACAGGAACTTCTTGGGTTGTCCGGACTGGACAACTTTCTCTAAGCAGAGTCAGGAGAGGGCCATATTTCACTGTCAAGATCTGTGTATTTGTTTGTTCACTACAAACTACACAAAGTCCACTTTTCTGCATGTTTCAGATTGTTCAGCACTGTTAGAGTGATTTCTCTGCTCCCACACCTGCACCGCTTTGAACCTCTTTCTAGGAAAACCATCTTCAAACATTTCAAAGTGTGGAGCTTTAACCTTTGAAACAACAACTTTAGTTTGCTTCTCGAAAACAAAAATGAAAGACAACAAAGCCAGGTGCTCTTGATGAAATTCATTTGAAGAAAAAAAAACATGATAACAGATGTTAGCAGGAACTAAAATTAACAACTTTCCCCTATTTTACCTTGTCTTCATAAATAATCTGATTAAATATTCTGTCAAACATTACTAAAATCACCATACAAGAAAACTGGTAAAATCATTTAACATTTCTCTGTTTAAGTTTTTACCTGAATGGAAATGCATTTTGTTGGTAGGGGGTGCTTTCTGCATGTCAGTTGAAGTTAAAGACAAAAAAAGTTAGTATGGAAACAAAGTTTTACCACAAACCTGGACCTTGAATTTAATGTCCAACTCACTGGGAAGAAGGTTCAGTTTGTGAGGACTTCAGGTCCTGATAAGGCTGGTGACCAGACTGGGTCCTCATGGCAACATAAAAACAAGAACACACACACACACCTTTAGTTTTTCTGTCATCCTTGTTACATGAAATTCATTTCCAGCTAAATGTTTGTCTAAATATAACCCAAAAATTTGGACTTTAATACCTTTGAGGTTATTGAGAATGCTGATGTTTAAGCCAGAAAAGCTCCCAATGAGGCAACAAAATTTGGACACACGGGTCTCTCTAAAAACTACATGAAGTAACGCAAAAATAACTCTGTACAAGACAAACTTTTTCATTTCTCTGTCTGTGGAGAAGTAATTAAATTTTTCAAAATAAAACAGGAAGTATATGTAAAGCTAGCTAAAGTCAATAAATGAAATGTGTTTTATTGAGCTTTGTTTAGATTACTTTAAGAACACCAGTCAACTATTTGCTGCTTCTTTGACCGGGAAGCAGACATCCCCCAAAATCAGAAATAAAATGCAAAGATGTTGGCATGCTTTGAAACGATGGTTTTCATAGGAATTACGCTTTGTGAAGAAAGTGCTGATGCTGGCGATGAAAGGTCAGGAGTGGGAGGAGCCTAAGTGTTCACACACATGTCCCGAGTACTGACATAGTATAGGATGAAATTATTGCATGATTTATTTCCTAACAGCACAGCGGTGCCACCGCTGCTGCTCAGGGGAATTTAAATGATTTAAGTCACTAACAGCAGAGTTGTGTAATGGAAAACAGGCTCCACCCACCCTGTGACCTCAGATATATGAAATACAATCAGAGTGCTATGACACGCTGGGCTCTTATTGGTCCAATTTTAAAGTAAAATATAATCCATAGGATATGGAAGGAAATTATTGACCAATCAAATCTGTAAAGGAGGGAAGAGGGCAGTATTTTCTGATCCAACCAAAGGCAACCAGGTGATTTCAGGTTAAGCTGATAATCCATAACTCCTGGTGGAATGTGTCATTTACTGTTGTTTTCATTTAAATAAAAAAAGATCAGAAATATCCAATATTGAAAGCTGGCAGAAAAAGATAATTTGTTTTATTAATTGATATAATTTTATTCAAAACATTTTGTAAGGATTAAATCTCTCCAATTTATTTTAATGTTAATATTTTCATTTTATATTTTTATACCAGTTTACCCTAATATATTTCAAATTAAAATATATTCATTTTTATTTTTTTCAAATATTGTTTTTAAGTTTCTTAGGATCTTGGCAATCTGTTTTTGGCTCACAGCAAAATATCATTTTTAATTTAATGTCTTTAGAAGAAAACCAAAAGCATCTTGATGCTGTGTTGGTTTTTCATGTTGCTTTCACAGCAGCAGAAGGATGAGTGTCTAACAAACTGTTAATGTTATGGCGCGTTAAAGAAACCTGGGATTTCTAAGCGTCAGTCCAAAAACATGACTGTTAGGTTAATTGGTTTCTTTAATTTGCTCTTAAGCAGGGGTGTCCAAAGTCGGTCCTGGAGGCCCGGCATCCTGGATGTTTTAGTTCTCTCCCTGGTTCAGCACACCTGCATTAAATGATGGCTCGTTAGAAGGCTTAAGGAGAACATTGACTTGCTGAGGAGGTTGTTACTACCACTAGGGAGAAAACTAAAACATGCAGGATGCCGACCCTCGAGTACGGACTTTGGACACCCCTGCTCTTAAGTATGTGTGTGTATGGCAGGCAGTTGTAGCATAAAATTTGTTTTGTCTGACTAACCTTACTTACTTTCAAGACGTCTGAAAATGTGTTTTAATTTGAAATAATGCATTTTGACTATTCTGAATGATAATTTAAGATTTATGCATTTACATTATGACTAGAAAACATCAACTTTCTGAAATCTAAAAGGAGTTTCCTATTATTCTCTGCCAAACAATGCACTTAAAAACAGCTTTATAGAGTAAAAGTACTACTGTAACCTATTCTCAAGGTGAAAATTTAGTATTTTCAAAAATATTTCTTTTTTTTTTTCTTTGAAATTATGAAATTCTACGTAGATCTGGGACTTTTTGACTAGACAAAATAATTATTCAGGATATAGTTTGAAGGTTAATTCAAGATATGAAATGGAAAAGTCATGTAGATAAAAAAAAAATGTCCCAGACATTTCTAATTTATTTGGATAAGTAATAAGTATTAAATTACAGTTCTAGATATCGGTACATTAGTTTTGCCAAGTCATTATTTGCTATCAAGATATCTACAATGTAATTTGCATTAGTTGAAGATTACGTGCCACCTATCCAAAAGTAATTTTAAAATAACTTTATTTAGAATTATAGTCAGAACAAAAGGTGAAATTTTTCAAATTTGTGATTAGTTATAATTTAATGTCTGTCAGTAATCAATCTTGAATTGAAGCCTCCAATCAACTTTATACTAAGTCTGACATAATTTAGTCATGATGCAATTAGAGAGATCTTAATTTACTAATATATAGATAATCTATATAAATAAACCGATTTGAGATATCTAGAATAAGTGTGGGGAAGCTGATTTTATGTTAAAACGGCCTGCCGTAGATGCGTTCATGATCGACCTCTGTGGTGTAAATAGGTTCAGAATATGGATAAATGCATTTATAGATGTTTTTATATGACTCTGTTTTTTGGAGAGATTTATTAATGTAGTTTAAATAGAAAATGTATTGAAAAAAGCCTAAAAGTTGTTTTTTTCCCGGGTTTCTTTCCCCACCGTGCTGCGTTCAGGCATCGTCCGGGCGTCGGCTGATGGGAGGCGGTGGCAGCAGATTCAACACTGCCCTTCTTCTGCGAACAGCACTGCCCTGAAACTGAAGCTACTTTACTGCAACGCCATCTGAATTTCATAAATCTGAATCAGGAAAATTGTTGACAGATCAGAGAAACGTTTACATTTTAACATCCAATAACCTCCATATTTGTTTAACTGTTGTGATGTTCAAGTTGTATCACTGCCCCCTGCTGTTTGTTTTCTCCCTTTAACTCCTGACACCGACCGGGTTTCCTGAAAACAGGTCCAGATAGAAAAACAGGCATAGACAAAAACAAAAAAAAAAAAAAACTGGGAATAATCTTTTAATTTTTTGAGTTTTTTCCTGTTTATGTCTTTACAATCTGCTGATCTGCAGCTGGAAACCCGACAAACTAAAGATGTTTGTGTTTTTCAGCGTTTTTAGGAAGCTTGCTTCCTCCCATCAGCCGAATCCGGAACAATAAATCTGTTTGGATGTTCTGTTTGACCCCTGACCCTTACAATCACAGTGGGCGGGGTCAAGAATCCTCTGACTCTGATTGGCTGCCTGAATCAAATTTAAAACAGATGGACTGATGGAGGGAAATTAATGAACCAATCACAACCCACCATTCTGCCTCTGAGAAAGTCTTCCACTTTAGGATTTTGATCGAACCGCAAGGATTGTAGAGACTGCTGACTTTTCCCAGAGCACCGGGGAAATTTTAGCGTCTTTTTCTGCCACATCAGCTGCTTCAGACCAAACAGAAACATGTCTTAAGACGCTTTCTGCTCTGAAGCATCCGTGCCTTCAGGTGACCAAAACATCACGGCTTAGACTTTAATGTATGGAAAGCCAACAAGGCCAAAAAACAGGAAGACATTATTGATGATGAACGTTTTTGTTTTGTTTTGTTTTTTATTTGTTGTTCTGAGCTCATGTCTATAATCTGGAGAAAAAAATCAGAAAGGAAAATTGCGCTTTTTTTCCCAATTTTATTTCTTAAAATCAATTGTTAAAAAAAATCTAATTAATTACATTCATGAAAGCATAAATCTTTGTTATAAATGTTTAGCTTTTCTTATTTATGATTAACTTTTCTTTTAACTGTAAAATCTTCTGCACATTTTTTTTGTTTAATCCCGCTGATATTTTCGGTTTTTAATTTTAGTCCTTATTAGAAAATTTCATGTTAATTTGTTGTATTGTCAGAAAACAAAACACCTCAACATGAACGCTTATTATTCTGATGGTCACCTGAAGGCATCGCTGCGGTAGAGCAGAGACTCTGTGCAGTGAAAGTCTGTAATCCCTGAAGCGGTTCAGTTCTGAAACTGTAGGGGGCGCTGGAATCAGCACCAGGAATCAGTGATGAAATGTGGGAATCTCTTTGAGAACGTTTTTTGTGTTTGCTGATGTTTGCACCGTCATATAAGCGCATCATGTATTAGAAAATCTCATCGCAAATACGCAGCAGGATGAAAAATAAAAAATGACAATAAATGAAAAATAAAAAAGGAACGACAGAAGAATATCAGTGTCTTTCTTTTTTTTTTTTAATTTACAGTCCAGTGGGTTTGAAACGTTGATCCTGTCTGCAGCTGGTTAGTATCGCCTCCTGGTGGCAGAAACATGGAACTTTAATTTGAACAGAAAAACGTTTTTAGGTATGGAAGTGTTTGAAGTAACATTTTAAATATAAAAAGTGTATTTAAAATAAGACAAACACAAAGACTTTCACAGGGTGCATTAACATTTTTACATTATTTTAGCTCCAAACACAATTATCTGATTCATAATCTTGATATTATCACTTTGGATACTTTACATTCATTTTTTAATGTATTAATTACTAGTAATAGTAATAACTAATAATAAAAATAATAATGGTAACTGATTTTAATAACTTGATGATGATGTTCTAATGTGTAAAACACAGCAGTGGTGAATGGAAGCAGTTAAAAGTCTCACTTGTGAAGGTTTAACACCATCACCATCAATATGTTATTTTAAGGACACATCTGTCATCTTACCCAAAGGAACGTAAAGTGTTCCCTCCATCCCTCACTGCGCGGCTTATGTGATGTTTTACATTTTTCAGCATGATTCCCTCAGAAAAGAAAATATTCTTTATTTTAAATTAGGTTTTCCTCTACATGTACATACTTTTCCTCTTATGTTTTACTTTACTTCCTCTTTTGTGAGTGTAGCATAGTTGTAACAGCCAGATAACAGCTGATCTGAAGGCACTTTTAATGCTCCTGCATTCAAATAGCAGAAAATAGTAGTCAAAACAGGTTTTCTTTTTCTCATAACAGTGCTCCACAGCGCCTGTTTAACCATGAACAATACTATTTTCAGCACATAATGTAGCATTTTCATTAGCAATGTTTCATGTAGCATAAGAGCAGCTAAATATCTGCTAACACAGTTCTATCACTGTTTAACAAAGTTCAAGTGCCCCAAAGCACATTATTTTACAAGAACAGTAATCAAACTATTACTATTCAAATATTCAAAATGCACTTATTGAACACAGGAAACAAAACTTCATACCTTCTCCCACGGAATACGAACAGAAAGCTCGACGGAGAGCGCGGGAAAACCTTTCACTAACCATAATGGTATGATCCGTTAATTTCTCTTTGTAAGCCCCGAACTGACACTCAAAACAATCCATGAACTCAAAACGTTTGACAGTAAAGATAATAATTCACATTTTCATTCACAACACGTTAAATTTGAAAAAAAAAAAAATTTTGAAACAGGAAGTTACCCGCTGTCATGCAATGGATCTATCGTCTTTTCAAAATAAAAGCTACCAGCGCTAATATGAGTTCCTAACGGAATAGCTTATCACTTGACAATCTAGTGTAATAACATCACACTGCTACACGAGCGTGTTAAAACAAGATTCACGTAAACACAAAGCTGTTCTTTCTTTCAACAAAATGAACACATATATTTTTACTTTTTGTTATGTTTGGATGGGATTAAGCTGGAAGAAGTTTTTTTTATTGTCTTTCTTTTTTTTGTTGTTGCTTTTATGTTTGACGGGTTGAGTTGTGAGTTAAAAGCTTGTTGAGTTTCGGCTGGAAAACCACTCAGCCCGTTTCCACTTCGCAAAACGCTTTGTTAAATGTTCTGGTGTCCTAAAAGCCGAGTGGCTTCATCCATGTTTGATGAGGAAAGACAGAAAAACACGAGTCTGATGCAGCTGAACGAGTCTGAAGGCTTCAGACTCACTGCTGTTAAAAAATAACAGCAGGCTGCTGGTCAAATTCATAAAATAACATAAAATAAAATAAATGTAATATTTCTGACTGTTTTTTCTTTACAGATTTTGTAACTCAGTCTGCAGGAGGCTGTGGCCTAGAAACTTTTGGGAACCTCAGGGTTCAATCAGAAAATAAGCACTAGAAAAAAGTTTTAAATAATTTTTTTAATTTTAGATTCTATATTTAAAAAAGTATTGAATAACAGAAAACAAAAATTGTGATAAAATGTTCTTATTAAGTAGTTTATGGGATTTAATTAATTATTTTTTTCCCTTTTTTTTCTAAATTTCCCTCCATCTTCCTGATTCCCCCACAGCGTCCCCTGGTGGTCCCTCAATGGGCCCCGGGCCCCACTTTGCCTGTCATTGGAGAAATGGGCTTCATTTTTCAAAGTCATATTTTCACCATGTTCATTCATTCATAAATATTACAGTTTCAAACTCTATACTTAGTTTGCTGTATGGGATCAACTCATTCTGGGTTTGAATGATTAAAAATGATCAAACTGAAATTTATCATAAAATTAAAGCTGTTTATTTCTTACATTTTCCCTGATTGTTTATGATTTTTCTCAAACCAGAAAAACTTCAAAGTTTTTGCTGATTCAATAGAAACCAAAAAGAACAAATGACAGAACAAAGTCTACTGGTTTTATTCTTGTGCTCATTTTATACTTTAATCCAGCAGAGAAAGTATTTATGGCCTCCTGTCGTTACGCAGTAGGAACAGCAGGGGGCGACATCCGACCAGGAGTGAGCGCAGAAAGCCGCGATTCACAGCAGCTTCTGTGATTTCCGTCAGTAAACTGTTAATCTTTCCAGTTTCAGCTGGAAGGAAGGAGCTGCGTCTGAGTGAAAAGCTGCTAATTTACCTGAAAGTTAGAAGGAAGGAAAACAGTAGATGTCAGGTTCTTCCTGCTTTTCCTTTTAATTAACTTCATAGATTGATTTTTACTTCACAGTGTGAAATCAACCCTGAGTGGTTTTAATGTGATTAAAAACAAGATAAGACAAATGTTTCTGGTTTTACCTGCAGACTTCCGCATTCAGGGGCTCACCTGAGAATCTGTTCAGGTCTGGAGAATAAAAGGCCAGAGAGTCCGCACCGAAAAAAACACCCAGCCAGCATGCCTAGGTGGGACCCATGTGGGGACAAGGAGGGCAGACTATATGGGTCCCATATGGGTTTGTCCGCGGGTTCCACGATGGCCCCACATGGGTTTGCCCATGTAGGGCCACAGCCCACATGGGTGCTACATGGGCCCTAATTGGACAAAACCCATGTGGGCCACCACCATATAGGGCCCATGCAGGGCCCATGTGGGCTCTGGCCCTACATGGGCAAACCCATGTGGGGCCATCGTGGAACCCGCGGACAAACCCATATGGGACCCATATAGTCTGCCCTCCTTGTCCCCACATGGGGCCCACCTATTTAGTGGGGTCCGCGTTCCGCTGTGGTACCGCCAGGAGGCCTCAAAAAGTTGGAGGGAAGATAAGGGAGAACAAAACAAAACTAGAAAAAAGGAATCCCATGAATTTTTCTAATCTGAAATTAGGTGGGGGGGCGAGGGGGAATTCAGTTATTAAATCTTTTTCTTCTTTTTTCTTTTCTTTTTTTTTAATAAAATCTAAGTTAAAATAAATGATTTAAATCTTATTTCTGTTGCTTATTTTCTGATTAGCTGCCAGTGAAATAAACAAAAACAGGAAATGAAAAAGTTTCTGAAAAAAGTCAAAGGAACCGTAAAAACCTTAAGAACTCTGGGCATAAAATAAAATCTGATGTAAATAATATAAAATACGACATATTTTCTTGTAATAAAAATGAGGATTGTGATTAAAAATAGTATTATCTGGTAATAAGGTCATAATATATTATCCGATTATAAAACTTTCCACCAGATAACTAATAGTTATCTAAAATCAAACTTAAAGGTTAGCATTTATTCTAAATTAATGGATAATTATTGAATAGTGAATAAAAAAACATTGTAAAAGTTAATCGTTTACATATTTTGCAGCATTGGAGAAGTTTGGGAACTTCTGTCTTAGTTCCCTTAACAAAAGTAAAATACATGTAACTTTTCATCAAGGCAGGAGCTTGTTTTACGTTAATTATTCATTATTATTAATGCAGAGTTTCTAGTTTCATGGTAAATTACAACAAGACATTTTCTTGTCTTATTCTTTAAATAATCTGTCAGTCGAACTAAAACGTTTTTAAATTAACAATATAAACTTGAAACAAACTAAATCTTGCTGAAAAGTTACTTGTTTTTTCTTATATGAGATACTTTTATTGTAAGATGTCAGTTTGGGTCCCTGCAGGACCGTGTTACTAAATGAGGTTCGGATGGATCGGGTCGGGAGTTTCTCCTCTACGTCACATTTCTCTGAACTGAACAGTTCGGGGCGTTCCGCGGGATTTCTGACCCGGTTGCGGCTGATTTTTAAATTTTTTTTTATATAACTTTATTTCAAACAAATAATATGAACATACATATGGACGTTAACTCAATGACAAATATTAAAATATTATAATAAAAACAAATAATAAAAAATAATTCAGTGTTGTTGTTAAAGTCTAGCGAGACAAAAGTTAAAGAACTATATATATATATATATATATATATATATATATATATATATATATATATATATATATATATATATATGAACGTAGGAATCGGCTCAGGTTCTTGGGAAATCGTGTGACGTCATGATGACCTCATAGAGGGGGCGGAGCGCGGACCGGAATCAACTTCTACTTCCTACTTCACAAACACACCAACTCCGCTCTGCGTGGCTCAACCACCTCCCTGCGCGTTTCACGCACTTTTCTCAGGTTACAAGTACCGCAAAGTCCGATTCGATTCGGTTCCGAACCGCTCCGTCCTGTTCGGACCGAACCGTTAACTGGACTTTTGGGTCCAGTTAACGGGTTGGGCGGGTTTAATTAGAGAAGTAAGAGTGGAATGGTTCTGATTTGGGATCGTTAATCAGGGGGACACTTTGGAGAAGTTCCTGGACCACCCAGACCGAACCGGACCGGCTCGGTGCTGCAGATTTACGGCCGGACCGGAACCCTGACGTGGGTTGTTGATCATCAGCTGCCCGAACCGGAGCTGCTCCCCTTCCAACCCCGGGCAGGAGGACTCTGACACCCCGGTCCAGATCCTGGTTCTGTACCGTTTCCAGGTTCTGAGCAGCCCCGAAAGGCTCGTCCGGACCGGATCCAACTGTCCCGACGCCCCCCGACCTTCTGTTAATGTAAGTCACCTCCTGTCGGAGTATTTTCTCTAAATCTGCAGTTTTTTAAATGAAGTCTGGTACTGTGGACAGTTACGCTTTAACTCCTACGTTTTTCTGATGATAAAAAGTACTTTGCGTCCTTTGACTCATTAAAACTCGATCATGATCAGACCACCAGCCCGATGAGTCATGTTCTACTGCAGTTCTGACCCATTATAGAGCTCTGCTCTGTGTCATTCTGGTCGGAGATCCACTGAGCGGATCTCCATTTAAAAATCCCCAAATTTATGTAAGATCGATTTTATCCCGTAATCAGTGTTTGAAAGTAGACCTGTACACTTGAATTCTAGTTTCCAATTAAATTTAACGTTTCGTCACCCATAAAAAACCAAACTGCATGCACTCATAATTTTAGTTGAAGTTTCAGTGAAAATTTATGATGAAAGTTTATATTTGAGCCAAAAATGTGGATTATTTCTGAACCTGAGGTTGTTAACGTTCAGCAACAGAAGGCGGCTCTGAATAATTGATCTGAGGAGCAGTTTGATCTGTTTGTGCTGCTCATCGATCGGCTCTCATAATCAGATTATGGTGGCTCTGGTCAATTTGGGGAGTCTGCAGAGATCAGCAGAAAGAGCCGCAGCCTCCTCATCTTCATCACTGTCATCCTCATCATCAGATGTGGAAACGCTTCATGAAGCAGCAGGACGATTTTATTTCCTCCACATTTAATCTGCTCCTTTAATAAACACAAGAACCTGGAAAATGGTTGGAGGAAGTTTCACTGCAGTGATAAACTTCCCAGAATTCCCATTAACACACACACACACACACACACACACACACACAGGGAGGAAGGTGTTCCAGCGTTGGTTTTATTGAGCTCCTCCTGGCAGGAGGTGTGTGTGTGATGGATGGTGTTGTTGGGCAGTTCTGGTTCTGTATGTCCCTCCAGGGATCCCCTCACTCCACCTGATCATCCTCCGTGACACATTAGCCTCCGTCTGTCTCCTCCGGCCGCCCTCCATCTTCTCTCTTACAGCTATCAGCTTCGCAAACGTCCCGACTGACGGCGGGAAAATCCTGGCTTTCCCTCTGGTTTCATGGAGTTCTGGAGTCAGAAACGGTTTTAATTCTGGAGGAATTAGCCAGCAGCGAGTACCGCTCCCTCCAGGTCAAAGGTCAGGCTCTACCTGCCTGCCTATTGGGTAGATACGAATGGATCAAACGGAGCATTCAAAAATACAGCAGACATATTTGTGCTACGTTAGCTAGCATGTGCTACATTCAGTAAACAGTGGGCATTTATCGTATCGTTTATCGTGATGAATTTCTAAGAATTTTGATTTATCATTTTCACAATGAATTTTAATTAATGATTGAAAAAACCCAAAGCTGTCCAAACTGTCAGGGTTTTTCTGTTTGGTTGATGGAGCATCAGTAACATAAAGTCATATTTTCATACATTTCAGATCACGCCACTCTTCTTTATGTGTGAAGCGTATTACAGTGGGAATGTTTCTCAAGAGCAGTATTTGTGTTTTTGTGTAGTTCATGATTCCTGCAGAGCCTTTAAACCCGAGTGAAAACGGTCGGCTTCTGGATCCGGTTTAAACCAGATACAAACCTGGACATGACTAACGAGGCTGTTCTTCTTCTCCGCAGGGCGTCCTTCGTCCTCCTCTTCCTCCTGGCTTTGACGGGCAGAGCCGTCGGCCAAACCAACGACTCGACAGGTGGGTGACGGGTCGGGGGCGGTCCCTGTGGGCGGTTAGGAGGCGGAGTCAGCGGTCCGAGTCGGTTCCGAACTTCAGAGTTTCTCCTTCAGCTTTTTCTCCTCAAACTGTTTCTGCTTCAAAATGAAACGTTTGAAGTTTTTCTGCAGATTATTTAATCTGATGACGTTAACGAGGTGCTGAGCGTCTCCATGGCGACGGCTCATTAATGTCTGAGGGGGTGATGGATGCAGCTGCTGGGATGATGGAGGAAAACCGCGTGGGATTCTGGGAAACCGGGCTGCTCACGCTGAGCAGCGCCGCTGAGCCCAGGTCGGATTCTGGAACCAGAACCAGAACCGGACTCAGCAGCGCTTCCAGACAGCCGGTTCCACCTGCAGACCCGATCAATAACACAAAATAACAATAACTTCTCATTAATATCTACAGGAAATCTGCTTTCACTTTTAAAACCATTTTTAGGTTTTAATGTAAAAAAAACTTTTTTAAAACGCAACAGCTGCATTTTCCTTTTGATGCTAAAATTTGCACATAATTTCCAGCTGAATAACAAAAAAATGGATTTAAATAAAACCGACCTGAAGTTTCATTCTGGTCTGGAAATTAAATGTAATTATTCCACAAATAAAAGGACAAGCAGCTAAAACCTGCATTTATTATTAAAAGTATTTAAAGCTTCAGTTGTTTATCATCTTAGTCAAAGTTTTTAAGAGTCGTGTTTGAAGGTCCAGAGAGCCGGCCGTGGGTCCGGAGCCGCAGGTTGAACTACATGACCTTTAACCTTTTCAGTCTTAATGCACAAAAACCATTTTTTCTCTTCTGAGGCCCAAAAACTCAAATTATTGCTATTAATTATTGACTCACTTCTTTGCTGCTTCCCTTCCTGCAGTCAAAGCACTGCACACCAATCACCTGCATATTTATTTTCAGTGAGGAGGTTTTACTATGTTTAGAGAAATGCAGACGCCTCATTTCTGTTTGAAACGCTGAGATATTTCCTGAGGAAAGTCATTTCCACCTGGATGCAGATAAAATCTGTTGTGAGTAAAATTCCTCACATTCATCTCAGTTCTGCTGAACAGAACCGGCTGGAGAAGCACTTCCTGTTTCCTGATGAGGTCAGAGTCTGAAACACGGACGGACGGATGTCTCCCTGCAGCAGCAGCAGGATGCGGACATCTGGAGGGTTTAATAGAAAGACGAATCCTCCGGCAGGGAAAAGCTGACAGGTCAATTACCGACACGCAGCGCGGGGCTCTGTTCAGAGAGGATCCATTAATCCAGAACTCGGCAGTCAGATCCAGGAGCTGCCGGGCCGAACCGGGTTCTCCCTGAGCAGGAAGCTAAATATGTTCTCATTTCCCTATCAGCCTAAAAGTTGCTGTTTGTGTATTTTTATTATATTGTTTAAAGCTTTTATGTTCCAATATCTGTTGAAACAAACAAATGTGATCATCTTGTGACCTACTGTTTATTATAATAGTTGGAGCTAACGCCATTAGCACAAGGTTTAAATCTGGTTCTAACACATTAGCAGAAGCTAACGTCCTTAGGACAAGCTATTCAAGCTAGAGCTAACACCTTTAGCAGGAGCAAACACACTATCACCTAGAGCTAACACAATCTTCACAAACTAACAAAATTAGCAGGCGCTAACACCGTTAGCACGAGCTATTCAAGGTCGAGGTAACCCCATCAACGACAGCTGACATTATTAGCAGAAGCTAATGTCATCATCTAGACCTAACACCATTAGCTAGAGCTAACATTTTTAGCAGGGGCTAACGTGAAATCAAAACAGATTGAAGATAATGAATGGATGTTTAAAGTAACAATGAAGCATCTTGAGATCTTTGAAACAATTTTATGTTTGACAAAATGTTTTGATGCTAACCATAACATCTGTAGTTAGCATCTAGAGCTATTTGGTATTTCCAAACAGCAGCCAACAGTCTTCTCTTCCTCCGTTTGGTCCTCCTCGTCTTCATTTCTGCTGTTTATTTCTTCACTGCCTTCCATTTCAAATTGAAGGAGCTAAAAGCTTCATAGCGCCTAGCATGCAACATTTTCCCAGGACCCAGCTTAACAACATGGCGGCGGCCGAGTGACAATATTTTATTTCAGTTTTTGAAAACAGTTATCCATCCGTCCATCCATTTTCTTCTTCTACCTGGAAAACTATTATTTCATCTAAAATAAAGACTATTGTTCAATCTAATCATGGAGACATTTCAGATTTTCCTGTGAGTTATCTTTGTGGTGCTTCTTAAGGAGTTCAGAGTTCTGGTCCTTGGTGGTCCAGTCAAAGTTTGGGTTCTTTGGACGAGCTGTCTGTGGTCACATCGGGGCGTTTCCATGGCGTTGGGACCTTTAAAGGTTTCCTGTCGGTGTAATCGTCCGGCTCCAGTCCAATTAAGCGTCTCCTGATGAATGGGGATCATCTGCGGTCCGACCGGACCCGGCCGACTGATCCGCTCTGTCTTCGGAACCATCAGTCAGAAAATCAATCAGAGGGAAATGAGTCGACGCTAATTTAGATGATTGATGTTCGGTGTGAATTCCCAGAGTGACAGTTTGCAGAATCTCCATTAAAAGCTCTGGTGGTGAGGCGGCTTCATCCTGTTATGGGATGTGATTTGTACCGGTCATGAATGATCTGGTTCTGATCGGGTTTGAAGTTTTGCCGCCATTTTTGTATCTGCAGTTCGACTCTATGCAGACGACGCCTTTCTATTTGCTGAAGATACAAATTGATTATTTCCTTTTAAAGGCAATAAAAGCTGAATGTTTCCTTTGCTTTGGAAGTAAAAACGGGTCCAGACCTTTTGGGTCGACCCGGGTTCTGAGCCACAGAAGATATTTCATACCTTGCATTCATTCTGCATATTAATAAAAGCATCTGAAGCAGCAGAGCTTCCAGGATGGCGATCCGGATCGGAAAACTCTGGTCAGATTTAATGAACCTTTGACTTCCAGCTGCCCGATCGGGTCGGTTCTGTCCAGAAAGCATGTAATGGATCCACCAGCTGATGGACTGCAGTCCTTTAATGAGGCGGAAGTCTGGAAGTCCACCTCTGGAGCGGATCCGGATCCATCAGAACCAGAAACGGCAGCAGGTGTTTGGGTTGTGGAGCTGGTTCCTTCATATGGACAGTATTTGGGTCCAGTTCTCCAGTCAGGGGTCGCTGACCTGTGACCTCTGACCCTCATGGCTCTGTTGGATGTTCCTCCAGACTCTGATCAGAACTCTGAGACTCGGACTGAGTAAAGACTTTAGATCCATTTAAAAATAATTTAATTATCTGTAGAAACAAATAATAATAATAATAATAATAATAATAATAATAATGAAGAACGTAACACAGAACTCTGAATGGAACCTGGTTTGGACCGTCTGTCCCTCCCAGCGCCTCTCCAGAACCAGCAGCAGTTCTGGTTCCGGTCCATAGAACAGGACTGAGCTGTGTTTTAGTCAGAAGAGACTAAATGTCCATCTTGTCCTGGAAACACTGGAGTCCCTCAGGACAGACGGACGGTCTGATAATCGGATCAGGGTGGACGGAGGGAGGCATAGTCATCAATATCTAACTGATGTAAAAGCTGCTCTCTGAACATTAAATGGATTTCAGTAGAATCTCATTAAGAGGCGTAACCATGACGACGGTTGCTGTCCTGAAACCGTCGGATCTTTGGTTCTGATCCGAACATCAGCTACTTGTTCTGCAGGCGGTTCTGTTCCGGCCCAGAAGCCCAGTTAGGCTCCTAATAAGAGTTTAAGGAGTGAACGTTTTTCTGACGGCTGATTGGCTGGTTCAGCCAGAGCTGCTTTCTGATTGGACGCAGGAATTTAAATATTTAAAGAAAGTTTTGTGTCTAAACGCTGTTTGCCTTCCTGCCTGTGCAGAACCGATGTGCCACGACTGGGGCGAGTCCAGTGAGGCGGCGGTTCTGGTTCTGGACGGCGAGGCCGGCTGGGTCTCCTGCCCGCTCTTCTCTCACCCGGCCGTCTACAACTACACGACGGCCCAGAGCGCCGGGCACGACCTGGTCTGGTACCGCCTGCTGGACGGCCACGACCTGGAGCAGCCCATCCCCTACAGGTAACCATGGAAACCGCCGACCCGCCAGGGGTCGCTGTGACCGGGTTGGTTCTGATTCTGGTTCTGATTGTCGCCTGCAGCGCGCGGGTCAGCAGAGAGCGGGAACGGCTGTGGCTGCAGCCGGCCGTCGCTAACGACACGGGGCAGTACATCTGCATGCTGCGGTGAGTCCCGTTTCCACGGAAAGAACCTGCCCCTGCTTTTGCACATCATTTCCCTTTGAGCTACAAACTCGTGCGTTTTTCGCTGGAAGCAGCAGAGGAACGTAGAAAAGAGTCAAAGTGGAAACAGAGTGAGGCCAAGAAAAACCCACAAAACCAAGTTCTGCCGGGTTTCTGGGTCACGGCCCAGTTCTGGTTCCTGGCAGCTCAGAAAACCACCAGAAGGTTTGGCGTCCTGCTCACCTCAGATGGTCCCACTCTGACCCGATTCTGGTTAAACAAACTCAGCGGTGGGCACACTTCCGCTAACTGCTAATGTGCTAACAGCAGGGCTAACTTTCCATTTAGCGTTTTGCTAACTTTGAAAACATTTGCTAACATAAATTAATTTCTCCAGATAAATTTATAGCATTGATCACTCAGCTCTTTAATAAACACTTTATACATTTTTTTATCCTTTTTCATATAAACTTGCTTTGTTGTTTTTTCAAAGGCAAAAACAACAGATGGTGAAGTTAGATCAATAACTGATTGATTAGATCAATAACTGATTGATTAGATCAATAACTGATTGATGTTCAGCCACTTTCACACCAACCTGTTCCATTAATCTCAGCAGGAATAGTTTTTTGTTGGCCAACATTTATCAGGACGTTTCCACTCCACAGTTTCCACTTTCACTATTAAACTGTTTGTTTTCCACCAAACGTTTTATTGATCACCGATAACGATCGTTCAGGGTTTTCGTGCTGGATGGGTCCTGCTCTAGCTGAAGCTAACGTTTACCTCCGGCCGACTAATGATGATGAAATGAAAACGGTTTCATGTTTGGATAAACGTGCCGGTTCTGGTCCGCATGCAGCAACAAGTCGTCCTGCAGCAGGATCGCCGTGCGTCTACAGGTGCTGCAGCGGGACCAGGCGGTCCAATCCGCCGGATGCCCACAGGTTGCCATGGCAGCGACTGAGGAGCTGATCGGCTTCCAGCAGGGGAAGACGCTGACGTGTCCAAACCTGCAGGACGCCTCCAAGATGGCCGACAGCGACCCGACGGTCAACTGGACCTACGTGAAACAAGATATGTCGGTAAGGCGGCGGCCCGTAACCGTTTGGGTCAGAATAATCCGGGTCAGCTTCTAAACGCCGCCATGTTGTCTCCCAGAAGTGTGATCCGTACCCGTTCTGGGACATTCACCGGGAGCAGGTCGGAACCAGGCTCCGGATCTACACCATGGTGAGTCCGTATGAGGGCCTGTACATCTGCACGGTCCGGTACCAGCGGAGAGGCGGGTCGCTGAGCTTCACCAGGAGCATCAAAGTCTCAGGGATCTGTGAGTCCGAACCGCCTCCGGAGGTTCAGGCGGTACCGGGCGGTACCAGGCAGACCCGCCCAGGTAAACTCTGCTGTCTTCTGCCTGCAGATCCCACCACCGTGTCCAAAGACCCGACCATCCTCCACCCGACCAACGGGAAGGTCTTCCCAGTCAGAACCAGTAAGTAGCTACTGGACCGGACCGGATCAGCAGAACACAGGTCTGGATCTGCCAGACAGATCGGTCACTGCTAAAGCTTTTCAGCTTGGGGTGTAATATGGAGCTACACTGGGGCCATAAATATTCAATAATTTTTTTTACTGAAAAATCTTTTCAGTTTCCGTTTAACTGAATTTTATCTTGAAACTTTTTTCCAGTTTCAAAACTTTTTCAGTTTAAACATAAATTTTTTTCTTGAAAAATATTTTTAAGTTTACTTTTTTTTCAGGTTTAAAACTTTTTTTTTTGTTTTTGTTTCAAATTTTATGGCACGGATTCAGCTCCATATAGACCAGATATTTTCAGTGAGTTTGTGTTTTCAAGGCCTTTTGAAGGGAAAAATTACAAAACTATTAGAATAAGAATAATTTAGTTAAAATGTTCGTTTGAGCCCAAAGACCATTGGCAGAACCCGATCCGATGTTCAAATGCGGCGGCGCCGTTCTGCAGCAGAACCTTTACTGCTGACATTTGATCAGGAATTCAAGGTTTAGAGAAGGATTTTCAGGAAGAAGGAAACAAACCTAAATTATTTGTTTAGTTGATCCGTTTTATCCAGTAAACCTGGAGCTCCATGCTGCATTCAGGGCCGCGTGTTTTCCAGAGCACTGAGGAAGAGGAGGCTGCTCCGGTTCTGATTCTGGTTTGTGTTTCCTGTCAGGCTCAGACATCCACCTGACCTGCAGAGGCCTGCTTCCTTTCATCATCGACAAACCTGAGCGGGAGATTTGGTGGACGGTGGATGGGAAGAGGGTGGAGCAGCTGAACGACGGCCGCTTCAGCCAGACCAACAGGTAGAGACGGGTTCACAACCAAACCATGTAGAACGTGTGTTTGGGTTTCAGTTGGGGAACAGAGATTTCCTCTGGACTGATGGTGTTTGTGTCTGAATTGTCCGCTTGCAGTACAATAGACGACCACCGTGACCTGAAAGCAGAGACAATCCTGAATATCAGAGATGTCCAATCTGAAGATCTGCAGCGAAACTTCACCTGCTCAGTGAGAAATGCGCGCGGCTCCATGGCCCGCTGGGTTCAGCTGGAGGAAGAGGGTGAGGAAGACTCTGGGTTGAACGCTTGCTGAAGCTCTGTGGGTGCTAACCGGCAGCTGTTTTGTTTCCAGTGTCGCTGCCCTCCGTGGAGCTGGGCTGTGGCCTCGGCGTCACGCTGGTGCTCATGCTGCTGCTCTTCGTGGTTTACCACGTCTTCTGGCTGGAGCTGCTGCTGCTGTACCGCTCCTGGTTCGGCACCGACGAGCGGCACACAGGTAGGCTCCCCAACTCAGCACCTCCAGGATACGGGACACTACGGTTTGGCTTAAAGCATCCCAGCTGATGCAGGACATTTTTTACACACGGCTGAACCGCTCGGCGGTCCGACTCGCTGCCTTTCAGAGAGGAAAGGTCTGCAGCACTGCCATATTTTCACTGTTTATTTTACTGACTGCGCTCTGAGCTTTTAGTGTATTAAACCGTTCATAAAAACGGAGCGACACCGTCAAACACCCAGACGTGTTTTATAGCAAAGCTTTTAAATCTGAGCGCCACCTGCTCTGCTGCCAGTTAAATCTACAAAGTGAAAGCTGTAAACGTCTTCCTGCGACTCGGGTCCAAACTCTGCAGATCTTTAAGAACTGAGAAATAAATGACGTCACCTAAAATGTCAAATAGATCCGATATCGTGGGGGATTTTCTGCTTTCTCTCAGGCGAAACTGGTTTCACAAAACATGTTGAGACAAGATCTCAAAATTAGTAGAGAAGGAAAATTATCTGTTTTTTGTGTAAAAAAAACAAAAAAAAACAGTTTCGACACATTTGGAAACCGCACACAGCACTTTAGAGATAAAACCCCTAATCATTAAGTTTACTTTAACTGATGA